TCAATGGTTGAATTCCATTTAGCTTTTTTTCTTTTCATGGGAGGAACACTTCTTTTTCATTCCTTTTTCATTATTTAGCACTTTCAATGTGAATCATTTAGCCAAATCCTCTATAGTTTTTCTGCCAAAACAACAGTGCTGAATATAGCAAAAGCACTACGCTCGAACAAATAACCAATTTCAGCATTTCCTGACAGTTATTATGAAAAAGTTGTTGGTAACCAGGTAACGCAGCACACTTTTTATGGTAAACATCCGCTGTTTCTAACACCTTATTGCCCACTTTGTTCTTCAGGTAGTCGGTAAGTTTGTCTGTTATTTAGTACAGGATAGGAAGGTAAACAGGACTATAACAGGGGATTCTAATTCATGAGTTTTGAAAAATAACATTGACCATAATACTGCATTCACATGATACGCGATTTGCTCTTTGGGTTTGGTGTCAAAAGGTCAATAAATTGAAATCATTTCAACTTTTAGCACAGTGCTAGGTGACAATTCTGAGTCCGCCTAGTCGCAAACTATTGGGCAATACATTAAAAATAACCAAACAGTCACCCAGCAACCACCAATTTATATTTTTTAAGATTAGTTAATTGCCTACAATAAAGCAAAGTGTAATTTTCTCGTGTTTCTCAAGAGGCACAACACACAGTTTAGCCGTCTCTTCACACACCATTATTCATCCTCAGAACACTAAATCACTGCTGTATCTTTCCCTTTCAGACAGGCACACTTACACAGCGCAGTGTACACTACAATATCGATCTTAAACTATGTTTCTCAGACAAGTGAACTATTGTGGCTGCGTGAAGAATGACCTTACTTGTTCAGTAGAAGTGGTTGAAGTACAGTGAGTAACCTTGTTGTTGCACCACAATGTACTTTAGGGATTGTGTAGGACTGGATGGTTAAAAATATATTGGTGATTTCTGGGTTTCTGACAGTTGTTAGTTGGACATTTACAAGGGTTAAGTGTTGGAACATACCTTTTTTTTTGCTGGGCACAAATAAAAAATGTATAGTATGTGAGACAGATACAAGACAAGCAAAGTGCAAATATGGACAAAGGGTAGATGCAAATAAAATATGTGTATGCAACCACAATCTGAAAAGCTTTTCTATTTCTAGGCAGTTCATTTTAGTTTCAAGACTCATTTTAACAACAGCACACTTGCCAGATGATCTGTTTGAATAACTGAAAGCCTGCCAGATGTCTCAAGAGCAAACAATGATTCTTCTGTCATCACAGAAGGGAATAAGACATTGAACATTTTATGAAGTCAGTGAAATTCTGTGAAGTTATTCTCTCTTGACCAACATTTCTCATCAAACAGTTCTTGACTAATTATTTCCATCTCGCCTATCCACATTTTGTTAGCATCAGGGCTTCTTTGGACTACTGCCCATCATTTACAACTCCATTTCAAGCTGTTACAGCGTGCAGCTAAAGAAAAAAGGAAGGGACTGCTGCTCTCAGTTCACTGCCTGCTCAGAGTCACTTGTTGTCAATCATCAAAATGTACTTCCTGTCACATATTCATGCTCATCACCGAGCTTGTAGTCCTGTCGTTTTGACAAAATGCTGCCGCAGATTTGTGCTGTCACATGGACTCGACACAGCTTTTAGTGACTGATGTTTAGCATAATTATGATACATTTTCTGTGGAAGGGCAGTCAATTAGTAAGCTAGTTCCCTTTCAACAGCTACCCAGCCTTTAATTGCAATCATTCATCTGTTACTTCACATTTTATCAATTTGTCTGTGATCTCTGCCACCATTTATTTCATCAGAGCAAAGATTGAAGCTATTAGCAACCTATTTTTTAGAGTTGACAAAGGGAGAAAGTGTACAGAGTGAAAAAAGAGCAAGAACTTTGCTAAGCCGAATTGCAGGCGACCTTCGCCAAAAAGGAAAAATTCTTAAAACTTCACCAAATATAATATGACACCAAAAAAGAGAGAAAAAGACTACAAGTTTGTCAAATGGCAAGTGGCAAGCCGTCTTTCATGACTTGTGTAATGTTGTTGGTAAATGGATGTGCTAGGGAACTGATTTCCATGAACAGGTGGTTTTAGCCGACATTCTACAGCGTCCGGGTAGCGAGATAATGGGCTGACATAATGTATTCAGAACCATGCATGAAAAAGTAGAGCTATGCACAACATGGCACTAAATTAAGCTTTTGGCAAGAAACATAACTGTTTTTAGACATATTGGCTGCTACTAGAATCTAAAGTTTGTTTTTCAATTTGTTTGTTGAGTTTATAATTGACATCTCAAGCAAACAAGCCAAAAATCTAATCGTTTTCTCAGAAGCTTTTGTGTGCTGCCAAGTTAGAAATTGAATGACAGAAGGAGTCAAAACAGATTCAGTTTGTCCTTCTGGCGTCTGTGTGATGGTCAGTTTAAATTGTATTTAACTAATTTGTTTACCGTTTTAGATTATTTTTGCTATTGTTTTGTCCGCATATACCAAGTAGCTATGTAGTGCTGTGATGTTGGATGTTACAAGGGACTATGATAAAAGCAAAATCATTTGATGGTGTGTTTTTTATTATATTAGCTTTCCTAAAATGAAATGTTTTTCTTTGCTAATAGTTTTTCAATATTACTACTAATAGGATATCATTAGATTCTTGCCTATACACAGCCCTGACAAAGAGTTTATTTAAAAAACCGAAATCACAAGAGTGTAAGGAACCACAAAGCAAATGTTAGCATGTCCAGCTAGCTAGCGTTCTACCCAAAGTATTAATGCAAATGTTATTTCATTTTTAAAGTCAAAAAGCATTTTATACTACATTCTTTTGTAGGGTAACGGGTTAAATTGCCTTTTCTAAGATAGCACATCCATCATATAGTAATTCCTCAATACTGTAGGCCTATGTGGAAACTGGTCCTAGATGCTAGCTTTAACAGAGTTTAGGCTAACGTTAGCAGCTCTGTCTTGCACTTGGTTTGGTTCTTACTAGAAACACATCCTCATCATAAACACTAGAAGTGAAGATTTAACATTAACATACATCTATTTTATGTCCAAGAAAGAGAAGCAGCAAACCTGAGCCATGCTTGAAGGAATTAACAGTCTGATGTTATTCATCTGTATCAAGATAACATCTCTCAGTGGTCATTTCAGCAGCAACGTGGATTTCTGTTGGCTACAAATTAAAGGCGTGCTTCTATATACCTCCGTCTCTAATCAAGGAGCCATTGTTAAAGACATTCAATAATTGTGGAAGCCTCCTGCGGGTGAATAAGCTAATTATAAAGTGTCTGTCAATCACTGGTATTGCTTGATTATCCACAATGGAAAAGCATTTATTTGCCGCCGTCATATTGTGGCAGTAAGGCAAACACTGTGCCCGTGTGTTGATAGCTGACTGCTTTATTAATGTGTATATTCCTGCAAATGCTGCAATGTGAGTGACAGCACAGGAGTGTGTTCAATGTGAACAGAACGTTGCAGGAGAGCCTTTCTTTTCTTCTTTGTTACCCACTATAGCATGCATGTAGCATGTGCTGAAATGGAATAGGCTTTTAGAGGAGCTTTTGCAAATCTGTGTCAAATCTGAATCTGTCATTAAAGTGTCACCTCAGGGGGAGATAGAGTATTCCAAACATGTTTTCATGATTAGCTGGAGTGATGATAGTAACTGGTCCTCTGGCAGTTTGTTGTTTCATTGCATGTTGCTACATGCAAAACATGTGTTTTTCATTTAAATGTATAAAATTTAAAAAAAATTTGAATACTCTCCAAAAGACAAAATGTGAATGAATGCTGTTTTTGATCCATGACGTAATTAAATGTTTGCCAGTTTGTCTTAAATTGGTGAAAAACTATAAAAAACGGGATGGTAATTTGATGGTACATTGTTGTTGGTTTCAAGTACTTTTGTGAGAAAGTTTACATTGGATCTGCGTGGGGCAATGCAGAAACCTTTTTAATATGCTGCTTTTATTTTTAATTGCAACATTTAATTGCATTTTGCTTAAAATAGTTGTACCAACTTTTCTGCCTTTGCCAACTTTCTGCAATATTTCAAGATATTTCCAATTTTCTGCATGTCAATATGGCTTTCTATGCGTGATTTGAAAATATGTTTCTAAACTAATATATACACTTTCTTAAAATACCATCACTTCACTTCTCCCCCTACCAAAAAAAGAAAAAGGAACACCTGCCTCAGCAGGAAAAGGTGGCTCCCTGTTGATGTGTGTGCCTCCACGGCAATGAAGTTGAGTGACAGCTGCTGACATATAGCCATCACACAGAGAGACGGGTGGAGGGGATGTTTAACTTTGTTGAGGGTGAAGGTGACTAGCTGTACTCACATTTCAGAAAACGTAGAGAGAAAAGTATTAATCCTGACATGTATTTTTTAAAATCGATTGCTTTTACTTGTTGAGTATTATATTACTGAAGGGAATTATGGCTATGCTTGCTATTACCCCTTAATATCTCAATGTGGATATTTCCCATAGTACACTGTCATGCACTGTGAACACTTTTGCAGTGCGTACATTTTGACCGCATTCAGCCAAAATGTTGATCATCGTTCCTGGACAAAGTATTTTAATCTTTGACCATTATAAGTGCACCATCCGCGTTCTCATAGTGCATTTTGCCATACTTTGCATTGTGACCAACGTATGCAAAAGACAATTCGGAAAACAATGTGTATCTTTTGTGCAGTACCTAATATATATTTTTTAAATCCAATGAGCAGGGATGTACGAGTTGGTGTTTTTTTTTCTTCTGCTGCATTCCCGCAATGCTTAGAGTCATTTTGTTGATGTACAGTATGAGTTTCCCTGTTTGCTCTCTGTGCGTCTTTATACAACTTTCAATGCCTCCCTTCAACTCGTCTGACCTCCACTCATGCATTTTATTTCCTGGACTCCTCGTGGCGAAAAACCTGTATGTCAGAACACATTGTGTCATCGCTAGCTCAATGAAGTCTAATTTCTCATCCTCTCTCTCCCTCACGTTCTCCAGGTGAGCGGGATCAACGCATCGGTAAGAAGGAAGCGTGAGCAGCGCGTGCTGTTCATGGTGGTCGTCATGGTGGTCTGCTACCTTTTGTGCTGGCTGCCGTACGGCATCATGGCCCTGCTGGCCACCTTCGGGTCGCCGGGCATGGTCACTCCCGTAGCGAGTATCATCCCATCCATCTTGGCCAAGACGAGCACCGTCATCAACCCGGTCATCTATGTCTTCATGAATAAACAGGTGAGAGGGTGGGCGTAGGGGGGCTGATGTCAGTGCTTTTTATCTTTCACTGTCACGCAGCAGCAGGCGGAGGTCTACCTACTGAGGCCAGACATCTTGTTTTCACGTTGGTTTGATAAAACGGTAATGAGTCATTGTTTTATATTCCAATCTGTTATGCCAGTGCCTTTTTTTCTACTGAATAATCTAAATGCTGAACCTATGTTTATGAATGAGGAATAAGAAGTTGGTTTCCCACATTTGAATCTGGCTATTTGAGGAAAAAGGCTGTCAATCAGCATCACAAGGCAGCTAATGACATCAACTATTCAAGAAGAAAGGGATGGGTCCTCCTGTTTGTTTTTTGTTGCATCTCAGGCCATGTTGGACAAATCTAATATAGTCTTTAATTACCTTATCCAAGACTTTCATGTGATTTTAACCAATTCCCGTTACTTTTATTCAACCAGAGGGGGCATTTGCAATGTCATGAAGCAATATATCCTCTGAAGTGGTGATTATTGTCTCAAAGTTAGTTTCAATTAGCCTTTTCCCATGCCCACAGACAATATGATAAGTCACTTGGAGATTAAGTGTTTATAAATAAGAGCTCCTATTTTGAGCTTTCATAAGAAGCCCAGGACTTCTGTTATGTTTACTTGCGCTACAATTTAGTTGGAGGTAAATCTTCCCGGAAGAAATAAGTGTCACCTGACTCTTTTAATAAATGTCACATTGGGTTTATCACTAACATTGGCAAATAACTACTCAACATGTTTTTTTTCCTCTGAAGTTTTGCGTTCCCTTGTTATGTGATGTTCAAATAATAACTCTGCTTCCAATCAAGCATTTCAAGGATGTATTCTTAACATCAAGACAAATTGCTTATTTCATTTCTGGTATAGTTAGAGGACAAGATCAATACCACTCTCATATCTCTTGAAGAAAGCTAAAGTTAGCGGCCTGTTAGCTTAGCTTAGCAACAAGCGGAGTTTCCAGGAAGCCACTTCACAAAATAGTTCGGCACAAAAAAACATGCAAAACAGAATCATTTGTAAATGTCTGCTTTTGTGCCTATTAAACAAATAAAATGTTACGCGTAGATAAGCTCAACGGAGCCAACTAACCCGCATATGCTAAGCTAAGATGCTAACTAACTCGTCTTTTCATAAGACTGTAACACTATCATGAGTTAAATCATAGAGACAAATTGTAAGGTTGTTAGCTTCTAAACTACATAGCTTTTGTGTCCGGAGGGCCACTGAAGACTGGATGAAAGCCAAAATGCCGTCGGGAGTTGGGAATGGAACCCAAACACCAGACTTGTTTCATCAATCATTCCTTGTGTTATGCCACTGGTTGAGAACCACATTGATTATAAACTAGATGTACGTAGATACTAAATAATAGATTAAGGTCTGGGGGACACAACGCCTCTGTATACAAATAATTAATAACAGCAGACCTTTAAAGTGGTATCACATTTATTGTGCAACTGGCATGTTCGTGTTATTTAATTTGATCCGTAGACTGATGGAGACAAGCATCTTTCTGTTGAGTTACTCCGTCTGAGCCTTTTTATTTAGCAATTTGACTTTGTTCAGTCAAGACACTACTTAAGAGTCCAGAACAGTGGTTGAGATTCTTGTAGCTCAAAATCAGATAAGGCTTTTTCTGCGTGCTAATATAACCATCCTCAGGGCAGCAGAGTAGAAACGGTGGAAATCCAAACACCATGACGACCTCCTAACCTATCAGGCTCTCCTCTCCTCTTTCTCTGCTTCGATCTCTCAGGCAAAAAGCACTTTCTTTCAAGATAAGATCCATTCTTCCTATTCCAATCCCAAAAAACTATTTTCCATCTTCTCCACCCTCCTCGAACCCCCCAAAGCCCCTTCCCCCTCCTCCTTTCTGTCAAGCGACTTTGTTAACTACTTTGAAAAAAAGGTTGATGATATTCGCTCTTCTTTTTCTGACTCACCATTACTCACCACTGGGTCTCCAGACCCACCGTTCACCCACACACTAACCTCCTTTTCCCCTCTCTCTCCAAGTGAGGTTCTTACCCTCATTACCTCAGCCCGTCCTACCACCTGTCCTCTGGACCCTATCCCCTCAAACCTCCTTCAGACTATCGCTCCTGATATTCTACCGTTTCTCACCCATCTCATCAACACTTCTCTAACTTCTGGTCACTTTCCAAATAGTCTCAAGGAGGCAAGAGTAAACCCTCTCCTAAAGAAACCCACTCTCAACCTGTCCGATGTTATAAACTACAGGCCTGTCTCTCTCCTCCCGTTGCTGTCTAAAACACTTGAACGCGCTGTCTTTAAACAACTCTCCTGTTATCTCCATCAGAACAACCTTCTGGATCCGCACCAGTCTGGTTTCAAGGCAGGTCACTCCACATAAACTGCCCTCCTTGCTGTCTCTGAGGAACTGCACACTGCCAAAGCAGCCTCCCTCTCCTCTGTCATCATCCTTTTGGACCTGTCTGCTGCATTTGACACGGTGAACCATCAGATCCTCCTTCGCACTCTCCAAGAACTTGGAGTTTCAGGCTCTGCACTTTCCCTCCTCACCTTATACCTCAAAGACCGCACCTACAGGGTAACTTGGAGAGGGTCCGAGTCCGACCCTTGTCAATTAACTACAGGGGTCCCTCAGGGCTCTGTTCTTGGTCCCCTCCTCTTCTCTCTGTACACAAACTCGCTCGGATCTGTCATTAGCCCGCATGGTTTTTCATACCACTGCTACGCTGACGACACCCAATTAATTCTGTCCTTTCCCCGCTCAGAGACCCAGGTCGTCGCACGCATCTCTGCTTGTCTAGCAGACATCTCTCAGTGGATGTCTGCTCACCACCTCAAGCTCAACCTTGACATGACTGAACTGCTTTTTCTTCCAGGAAAAGAGTGTCCCACCCTTGACCTAACAATCAACATCGGCCCCTCTGTTGTTTCCCCGACTCAGACTGCAAGGAATCTGGGTGTGACCCTAGATAACAAACTGTCCTTCACTGCAAACATCGCTGCTACAACCCGCTGCTGCAGATACACTCTTTACAACATCAGGAGGATACTTCCCCTCCTGACCCAGAAAGCGACGCAACTTCTGGTCCAGGCTCTCGTCATCTCACGCCTAGACTACTGCAACTCCCTCCTGGCTGGTCTACCTGCATGTGCCATCCAACCTCTGCAGCTCATCCAGAATGCAGCGGCTCGTCTGGTCTTCAACCTTCCTACATTTTCCCACATCACGCCGCTCCTCCGCTCACTTCACTGGCTTCCAGTAACTGCTAGAATCCACTTCAAGACACTGGTACTTGCGTACCATGCTGTGAATGGATCTGGCCCTTCCTACATCAAGGACATGGTTAAACTGTACACCCCAGCATGTGCACTCCGCTCTGCATCGGCCAAACGGCTCGCTGCACCCGCACTGCGAGGGGGACCCAAGTTCCCATCAGCAAAAACACGTCGGTTTGCTATCCTGGCTCCAAAATGGTGGAATGAGCTCCCCATTGACATCAGGACAGCAGATAGCCTACACATCTTCCGGCGCAGACTGAAAACTCATCTCTTTCGACTCCACTTCGAGCGATAGAATTACTAACAAAGAATTACTAACAAAGCACTTATATACTAATAATGGTCTGGCTTATCTAAAGCCAGTTGAGTAGCACTTGAAATGTTTTGGCTCTATGAAACCTGATGTACTTATATGATTCTGTTTTCTTCAAGTTTGTATCTTCTTGGTCGAATGCACTTATTGTAACTTGCTTTGGATAAAAAACGTCAGCTAAATGCAATGTAATGTAATGTTCTAGCAAAGGTCTTTGGTTAATTCAAATCAGATTTAATGAGACACATCGCCAGGAGGAGTACCGATGCAGTTTGGCCCCAAAAGGATACGCTTTGAGGGCAGTTACTTTTAACTAGGCCTTGAGTTCCTGGAGTTTTCTATCATTATGATTACTTGTGTTTAAAACACTTGCTTTACTGTAGAGCTTTATACACAAGCGGTTTGTATTTCAAAACACATTTTCTACATAAATTGATTGTTTGTATTGTTTACCAAGGCTGAAATACCAACAGTAGATCTGAAGGACATAGCTCGATGAAAAATATATTTTTGTTACATAAGTGTGAGTGCATGCAGTATTAGGGACAGTGAAGTGGCGGTATGACCGAACATTTTTCATTGTATATAATAGAGCTTCCAACACCTAAAAGCTCTATTACCTTCAGTTTGGAGCAGAAAATGGCACAAACGTATAAAATAGAGAATCATAATTTACCGTTTTTCACAGTCGTCCTCATATCCTTATGGGGGTTGGAAGAAAATATTGTTTATTTAAAGTTAAATGCATCTGATACACTCTGAGGGCCAAATGAAGAGGATAGAACTTAGGGCTCTAGTAAACAATGTAATCATATTATTAACTTTTTGTATAATTACAAGTTTGATGACACTGTAATATAGTCATACCGACAAACCGTGTTTTGAAACTAATCTGATGGGTGGCCATCATTGCCGTAAACCTCACTGACGACAGTCCCAACAAAAGCTTCTCCCTACCCAGATTAAGAGTTCTAGCTCTTCACAGTCTAGGTAATAAGACTGTAAACATATTTATTTTTCTGCGGATGTAAAAGACCTGATTCTCTGAAAATGTTACATATTTTGCATGACAAAAAGCATTCAAGGAAGGGACATTTTATTTTATATTGAAAACACTTCATATTGAAACAGCCCAGTTTAACTAATTGTAAACCAAGCGAGCCAACATAAAAAAAGAAGAAGAAAAAAAGTGAAATGTTGCAAGCAGTTGCCCACTGGATACTTTTACCTCTTCAGGCCATTAAAAGTCACCAAGAACAAACATGCTGTGGAAAAAAGCTCAGTTTTTGGTTTAATGGTTACTAGCAACGTTTAAGGTCAATACAAATCATCTGGGGAGCTGAAAGCTTCAGGTTCACTGTTAATGAGTTTCTGATAATCTGATGACCTCTAAATTG